GTGCACAGGGAGGGTGATCACTGGGCGGTAATTCGTAAATTCAGAACGACTGTTGCTTTTGAAAATTGGCGTGATTAGGTCCTGATTCCACAAAATAGGCACCGTTTGTTTATCCAAGCACATCCACACAAAGTGCAATAATGGCACGGTCAGCGTTTCCGCTATGTCCAGCGGTATTATGCGATTCTAGGAGAACTGCCAGTGTGTAGTAAAGTCTGTTTCATCAACACACTAATAGTGGTAAATGTGATATACGTCCTTAAGTTAATACGTAATGCGGCTAATACGCACATGAAAATAACTATTGTTGGCTTCCTGAAAGTTTGACGAAGATCGAATATCTGGTGGATCGTAAAGATGTGATCAATGCATCTCTGACCAGAGCGGAACCCAGGTTGTCCTTCGTATATGTTCTGTTCACTGAGCCACCTTAAATCTTGGGGGAAGATCCTGTGGACAAAACGCAAATTAGACTAATCACTCGCTGGTTAGCTCAGTCAGTTTGGGTTGCATTTTCGAAACATGCAGGATGTCTACCACACCACAATAGGACTGGAGTGCTTCGAAGATCCAGATCTTTTACAGTAGGGAAGGTAAGTCCTGAAGGACTGATGGCTTCCATCTTTGCACAGAACCGAAGTAAGGTCGTCTAGGCCAAGGGCATCATTAAAATGCTGAGAGGTAAAACTCATAAGCAATCTCAGCCTGAGATGGTACTGGAGAGTCTACGCACCAGGGAACGCTGTGGATTTCTGCATGGGAACTCATCGGTAATACTGCTCAGTTAAGCTGTTGTAAAAAATGCTCAGATTAACGTATAAGTCAACGTTGTTGACACTGAATAATCTCGACATTGTCTTTACACAAAACTGAACTGAACAAGTTGAAACACGGATAACTAAGAGCTTGCAAGAACTCCGGGCCAAGGGATACATTTCAGATGCTCTGTATGACAGTCTTAAACCGAGTGGCACAAGCATCCCAACATCCCACTTCGTCCTAATATATCAATGGTCAACTCACCGTACCATGCCATTGCTCAGTGATTCGTAGAACTTCTTGAAGCTGTGCGACAACAGCTCGCTACCCACAGCCTTCGTGACAGCTTCCATTTCGTCGAAAGCATCAAGGATGATAACATCAATGAGAAACTAATGTTACCTTTCGATGTCGTCTCACCTTTTACAAACGTCCCACTGGTTGAGACGATCGGTTACATTTGCAACTATATAGCCGAGTCAAGAATAAGAATGTGTATACATACGCGTGAGCTCAAGGGCTTACTGTTACGTTGCACCTGGAATGTGCAGTTTCTATTCAACGGGAAATACTACCAGCAGAAGGACGGCGTGGCCATGGGATCCCCTCTCGGACCACTATTAGCGGATATCTTCATGGCAAAGCTGGAGAGAACTGAAATGCGCGCTGCGATAGACCTTTCTGACCGCTATCATCGATACATAGACGATTTATTTGTTGTGATGGACAAACATGTTAATCTGGAGGAAATTCTTGACCACTTCAACCGGGTGCATACAGCAGTGCAGTTTACTTAAGAGAAGGAAAGCGATAATCGGCTACCATATCTCGATGTCTTGTTGACTAGGAGACCAGACGGATCCATCCAGCGTCAAGTCTACAGAAAAACAACTTGGATAGGTCCGCACACGAACTTTTACAGTTTCGTTCCTATGAGATGCAAGCGCAACTTGGTTCACTGTCTTACTTCAAGAGCACGTCGAATCTGTACGGAAGACACCCTAGACGCGGAGGTAATGTTCATACAGAACACTCTACGTGAAAACGGTTATCCCGATAGATTTATAGATTTATTTATTTATCCAAGAAAAACCTAAACCAGTGCCAGTGTTAACAACACCCAAGAAAGAGTTATTTATTCGCTTACCATTCAAAGGGGACGCGGCTACCGAGCGTCTAACCAGAAGCATTTCGGCCGCGGTAAAGTTGACCTTTCCAGCAGCCTCGTTGAAGTGCGTGTTCTCAACGGAACTACTCATTCTTTCACAAAACAAGGAGAAGCTACAGATGCTGACCACATCAATGGTAATTTATCAATTCGTGTGCGCCTGTGGCGCGACGTATATTGGTCGAACGGCGCGGCAGTTATCCAAACGCGTGAACGAACATTGGCCTCGTTGGCTGCGTCAAGGGGGCACAGGGACCATAAGTAACGCCATTCTGGCCCACATTGTGGACACCGGCCATGAGGTGGATTGGAAACGCGCTTTTCCAATAGTTTACAAGGTTCCAGCGCACCGAACGAAGGTTACCGCCTTCGTACGCTTGTGACAGCTGAAGCAATATGCATTCGATTGTTCCAGCCGTCCTTATACACACAGAAGAAGCTGGTCCAGGCTCTCCAACTTCCCTGGCCAACGAAGATGTAAGACGCCCAGGTCGACTGCCTTCGGTCAGATGCGGTAGCAAACATAGAGCTTCACGTGATCAAGTCATTTTGAACTAACTGGGTCGATTTCTCATTCCAGCCTCTATATGATTGTAATGGTCTGATGATGAATCGTTGAAAGCAATTGCTCACCAGATGGTCTTTTGTTCTAGAGACTTTATCGACACTCGGTATTTTTGCAGCCAGTGGATCGAATCAGAAGAAAACCGTTACGAGAATTCTCCGGGGTGGCCGCTTGCTCCCTCTCAATGACAGCTGAGATCGCTAGGCATCTGGGCTCTCCCAGATGGTTTTCTTGATTTCAGCGCCAGCAGTCTAGTGCAGTGAGGAGTGCCCAAAGGCAGAAGGGGTTGCTGGGGAGTTCGAGAAGCTGCGAAAATTGTGATAAGATCCAGTGTTTGACCGGACTACTAAGGATATCACGGACTAGGGTTGCATTTGTGCATGACGCTGCGAAGGTGTGTTCAGTGTTTCCGAATGACCAAGCATGGGACACCCTTGAGATTTGATGTCGACGCATCTTGAAAGGCACTTGGGGCAGAAACCTGAGCCACTGCAAATCATTTCCGACGACGTTGTTGGGTACGACCGAAACTTACATCCACCTTAGCATACACTAGCGTGTGATTCGAACTACGGTAGTTAGTTCAGCATGACTTGCAATCCTATAGGCTGTAGAGCCAGTGGAATTTGATGGCTATATGGTCAATTTGCCTCCACTACTGGCCCGGTGGTTGAAGTCTCCAGGTGGCGTGTTTACAACAGAAGCGCCGAAAGTTGGTGAACATTAGTGCAGTGATGGATGAGAACAACACCGAAAGCATCTACTTCGGATACGGTCCCAGTGATCGGAATGGCACAGATAGACATCAAAGTCAACCGTGGCCACAATGGAGATCGTGTGTCGCAATTCTGGCCACACGGCGGATATTCCAAAACTCGATAAGTTCTAACCACTGTGTCAAACTCTGCTCGTGGAGCTGAATGGCCTAGAGATCATGACGATCGCTGCCAACCACCACGTGCCGAGACCAACTCCTAAATCAGGCTGTCTCTGCCTGGTGAATACAAACAAGCCCGCAACGCATCGCGCAGTGCAGAGATTTGAGAGTGTTCCCTCAATTTCAGACAGGAATAATCGCACTTGTGTTAGTGAGAACCTTCTGATGTGTCATGCAGCCTGAGCATGATTTTATGGACACTGTTTTCATGTTGTTATTTTCACCCTAGTCATCCTACGTAACTTTGCAAGCATTTGTGTTTCTATCCATTTAAAAGCACTGCTCAGTGGAAATGCTGTTACTCTACTGTAATCAACATGACATTCCGAAATTGGCTTCGTCCCTGGATGAGTCATTATATAGAAATAACCGGGATGAGACCAACGAGGTGAATGCATCGAATGCCGGTGCTAGCGATTATCGCACAGCTGTCGAAAAGCATTTGAATGACATTTACGCGTATGGGTATAAATGCGGTCACTTCCTTTGTGCGACGGAATTAAACGCCAACACTGAAGCTTCGGACTGTTGCCACTGTTAAGCAGGATGATAAACGATACAACGAAAAATTCTGTAAGCGTACTGAGAAAATGAGGCAGAAGTTACAAAATGATATAACTAAAGTGAAAAATGGATATTTATGATGACATTTACCAGACGTTTTTGTTTCACGTAATGTTCCTGATTTCACCGGCTGTACCTTATGGCAATGTGGTACGTGCTAGTCCGTAAATCATGTGCTCGTAACATAAAGACGCGTCAGGGTGCTGAAGGAGTAGTGCAGACGTTTACGGCTGCACGAGATATTGGCAGACCCAGTTGCGGAGTACTAGGTCCATCTGAGACTGGTATGCAGCAAACTACTTTAAAAAGTAGTGTCCGAACGTAATATGCATCCGGGATTCAAAGTTTTGTTTCTGTTGTGCGCTGTGCATTCATAACTCCGGAGCGGGCGCCCGACAGCCTTAGCCCCTCTAAAAATCTGTAGTGACATTGTCTTATCGCAAGCCGTTCCACGTACCTCACTGTTCATACGGTAATCCCAGAAGTCCATAAAATTTTGTGTTGTTACTCTGCTGATTCACTCGAGTTATAGCGAGCGTTTGAGCAGTACCTAACGACGCAAACCTTTTCCTAGTCAACCTCACTGAGTTGTATGCTTTTCCCCAAGGAGACCATGAAGTAAATCCTCGGTTGATCCGCGGACACCGCTACACTAGTTCAAAAAATTTCAAGAATTTGAGAAGCTGCAAGACGAACTACACGGGTGACTGTAATTCAGTGGACCTGGTCCGAAAGACGCAAAGTGATACGTACGGTTAAAATACAGTGCTTTGCTGTGGTTGAATACAGACTGAACTGAAATACATAACCGCATTTCTAATGAACTATTATATGATCTCCAGAAAGACAGTTGAAGTGTCTGAACTTCCATTCTAATGGGATGTAGGTATTTGTCATAAAAATGCAAAAGTTGGAAGGACATAGAGAGGCAATCGGTTGACAGAGCACCTCACAATGCCCTGAGACCACTTCATCGTTAAAAGTGTAAGGTCACTGAAAGGTCTTACCGACGATGAGGCTCAACGCGTAACCGATTGGGGCTTGGCACCATGCGAGGCCTTGACCGAGCTTGAACGTGTTCTCCGCGGTTCCGTTGATATAACCACCTCCGACCCAGGTCGCTGCGAAGCAAAACGAATTACGGGATAATGAAAACACAGAGCTATGACTAATTAGCTGAAATCATTATATAATTCCCTATATTTGCGTATGTTATATATATATATATTTATATATACATATGTATCTGTGAGCTATGTGCGCTATCTGTATGAGATGAGCAATGAATCTTGTCGTTTCGCGTCTTAGTGACGTTGCATCTGGTTGCCGGGTATATCCCTCCTGATAGATCATTACAGCTGTTGTTCCTAATTGCATCGCACCACGCCGTACGGCAGCACTCTAGCTCGGCTCTCGCCTCACCCGCGGAGGTCATTCCAATTCTCTTCATAATTCTTATGCGCGCTGTTCCGAACAAGGGCTACACAGTGTATCTAACTTGTGTCGATCATAAGCTAAGTTAAAAGTTTGGCACTTTTCTCGATATTATTATTATTATCCGTATTGTTAATCTTATCGATATAGTTACGTCACACTTAAGCTGTCTGAGAATAATGTTGGCCTCATTCGGAAGAAGAAGTCGAGGACTCTCAAACGACTCTGCATCCATCCCTGCAGGCTGAAGCGTGATAAAGTTACGGGACGTTCTGCCTCGCTAATCCATGAACGTCCTGGGCGATTGGCAGCGCCCCGCTTGGATCGTCGCATAACGCGATCCAAACAATTCACGCCACGCCTTCGTGTGGGAGTTTACACATAATTACTAGACAACCGATCGATGAATACGACAATCGATGTGACCGCGAGAGAGGCAGTGAGACGGCCATCTACCTCGGCAAGCTGACCTTGGCGCCGGAACCACCAGCTTAGGGTACAAGGTTCACGTGAACTGATATGTGCGAGTGGCAGATCCGCAGTGCCTAAAGGCGCCTGTGGCATATGCAATAAGGTTGTCCCAATAGGAATTCATTTTAAATCTGCTCCCTATTTTCAAGCCTTATAGGAAAATATAAAGCCAAACGTGTTTAGGCTGATCAGCAGTAGGCTAGACTTATTTTGGTTTTGCGTTAAGTGTAATACCGTACGTACTAGCACTGCCGCAGAATTTGCTAGTCAGGAGGAGTGGTAGAGCTAATTTTAGGCACAAAATTAGTTTCAGTAAGAACAAACATAGCAGAAAGTCGGACACAGACCTCTCCACCAAACCATACTTCAAGCCAATTCCATAACAATGGATGTTGGAATAAGAAACTGACTCATGCAAACACCGCCACTACTTCATGTCGTCCAAGAGTCCCTCCAGCACACTTACAACAATTTCCCTCAAACCTGTTTTCTCTTTTACCAGGCTTCGGCCAAACAAGAACGAAGCCAATATAAGTGGCAGCTGAGTCGTAGTTTCATCTAAGAGCATTCCAAAAGCAGAAGCTATTATTCCTACTACCACACCCGAAACTAATGTGAGATGCAAAACTGCACTGAAGCGTAGCAAATCACCCAGACCCCTAACCACTACCTATGCTCACATGAAAGATGCTTAGAAACAACGGGATGCCCCAACTACAATATGTAACAATGTCCCGGTGTCAAAATCGAATTCATTGAAAGGGAAACAGGTAGACGACCTCAGCGAATGGAACGTCATAATCTACCTGCTCGGTATTTCGATTCAGCTACTTAATTTGATGAGGATCACCTCACACAAAAATTCCAAACACCGTGGTAAAGGCAGGCTTTTTCGGGTTGTGCTAAACTCGGTTGAAGAGGTGGAAGTAGTCTTACTTTCTACAACTTTCCTCCAGAACGGATCCTTTATGGCCCTTGTCTTTCCAGAGGTTTCATGGGGAGACCGCAAGCAAGCAGAGCAGAGATTGGTAGAGTTCCGCCTAGACACAGCAGCCAGAACCGTTTTGTCCTCTCCGTTTCATAGTCTCATGTGCATCATGAATGCGAAACAGAGGCTCACGACCAAGAGAAGTAGATCTATATTCAGGAGAGCAAAGTCATGGACAACTTTGTAACTACTTCTCTCTTAAGGCTGCCAAGATCAGCAGGCTACAAAGGCGCAACCCAAGGATAACTAAAATAGGGTTAAAAACTAGGCAGAGGGAAGTTCGGCTGTGGAAACGAGCCCAGTCACTTCGGAACAGACTGCCAACCGGGCTCCGGTTCAAAAAGTCGGGCGAAACTGTCTTTCGGCTTAAAGCTCCGCCTCAGCTCATCATGATCTCCTGAAGCTAAGAGTGTTCGTGTGCCCTGATCATCGCATCAGTCAGGGGGCGCCATGCACTGGCTTCCATGTGATGTATTGTTTCGACCAGAGGTTACATAAAACTGCATCCTAAATGTGCCTGTTGGATCAGTCACGTATTGTGTTCCTGATGGGCAACGGTCTGCTCGGACAAGCGCAAGAAATTTGACACCGGATTACCGGTTACCGGCCGTGTCAGAATACAAATCTATGGTGATTCTTTCCGTTGAAATGCCCTGATAAATGGGTGGAGAGGGAGAACACTCAACTCCTTTAGCTTAGGTGGACTCACCTTTAGCTTTGCGCGCATTTGGTGACCTCAAGCATTAACACCCTAATCCCTGTCTGCCATCGGTTACATCCATGTGACAACCTTCTCGACAACCTGCCTGGAATGCACCCCTGTCCCTCATATACGCATACATTTGGCTCTGTGCTTACACACGGTGTCCCAGTAGCTGACGCCCCACGCCCAATGTGAGTGCTACGCGATGGCGCATGCGAGTAGTCACACCCGGCGAAAGTGGGCTCATAGGCGGACTAACTCGAATGAACGAGAGATGAGGTTGAACTATTAACAGTCTAAATCACTAGCGCTATGAAGTAACTTGCCTGTAAAATAGTATAGAATGCTGTAACATCTATAACCCGAGCGGCACGGTCTTCGCCAAAACCTTGAACTCACAACCAACTTACTGATAGCACGCAATAGTTGGACGAAAGCGGCCGACGAAGGTAGATGGAAAGACGTCATTTACAACGATTTCTCCAAAGCCTTCGGCCGTCTGGATCACCAAATTCCGCTTCACAGGCTCGAATGCTCTGGAGTTGGGGAACCTGTTCTAGGGTGGATCGGAAATTTCCTGCAACCACGGCAACTACAGGTTAGAGTTCGGAGCGCAATGTACGATCCGATTCTTGTCGAATGTGGCGGATAACGTAGATCATTTTTCGGGTCTTGTCTGTTTCTCATGTACCGTGATAAGCTTACGCCTATGACTGCTTTCTTGATTTTCACTAAGGAGTTTAAGATGTAGCGGGAGATCGCCGACCAGGGAGATCACGATGCACTTCAGCACATGAATGTTCACTCCACAGGTTACTTCAGTTTAAATCATGTAAGTGAAAAGTTGTCCACTCTCGTCAGCAACCGAACATCATATACAAGTTTGGATACCATGTCCTGTAAGCAATTACCTAAGAGCGCGAACTTGAGGTATTTATCCAGACCAACCTGGGCTGCGCAGAACAATCTGAGAAAGCGTCAAAGACTGGAAATCAACTACTTGGCGTGCTGCGGAGGAAATTCAGGCGGTTTGATTTGTCTGTCTACCTATCTTCAATTCCTTAACACATACACGCCGCCTCATGTGAAACACACAATTTAGGCCTGGCACTTAGCATAACCAAGACCAAACGGTACTCGTGAATCTACTGCGATGGACCAGTAAACATATCAAACAATTGTTGCTATAGATATCAACTTAGTCTGCGGACACAAAGTTTGCATGCTGATCATTATCGAGCATATTTGGCCACCTAATAATGGCCTAACATGTTTTGAGGAGTCCCAATCATGTCTGTCGTCACCTCCAGCAATTCAGCCACAGCAAGAAGTTGGGGACCACCAGCTCGATTTCGCCACAAAATCCACTCGGCGAAACTGTTATCACTTCCGTGCCTGGGAGGGCGTTCCCTCCCAAATTTCGTTGTTTCCACCCCTAGTTTAGCAGTGTTTAAAAAACGCCTAGACGCTGCCCTAACCCACCTACATTACGACATATAGCTTGTGTATATCGATAGACGACATAAGATGATGAAGATTGCGCTACCAGCATTTACCTAGACAGTCGAGATTGGATCCTTTCTACACTCCACTGTGTGAACACTGTGGTAAGTTCACCAAAACGCTTTACAATTTCTAACTTCGTGTCCTTTTCACCATGCTATGGGACTTGCTAAGCATCTGCTTTTTACCCGTAAGATACCGTTGTTCCATTGTTAATTATATACTCGCCCAGCAGTTTATAGGGAAGAATTAGCTGAGTATAATTAGCTTGGTTTGATATCGGTATGGTTAGTTCCCTCAACTTGGTATGCGGTGCACAAACCAGACACAGTGCAAGTATAAAAAAGCTTAGGCATCTGCGCTACTGGGGCATCGGTGTCCTACGTAATTTCGACTAAATGCAACACAATGGAATCCATTATTACCGGAATTGAGCATCATCAGTACACAGTGAACACTGTGGCCCACTTGTTGTTTTCCATGTTAACAGTTAATAAGAGGATGAGTCTGGTTGGGATGAGAGTTATACACACAAGTTGGTACAGATTATTTGAGGGAACACTTAAGAGAGCCGCATTTCAGATGACAGTTTCTAACTGCGGACTTTCATTTTTGTCACATGCAGCTACAGCAGAACTCGGGTCCAGTTGCCTAAAACTAAGTTAAATTTTGGAATAGAGTAGCCAAACAAAGCGTACAGGTAATAGCGTAGAATCAGACACCTTAAAAAGTAGAACTCGCAAACAGGCGAGCAGCCAGAGTCGGCCAAACTGGATGACCACACTTTTAGAATGAGGGGGTTTTCTTCCGTGGGTGTGTAGGGGGCATATGCTACACCATCGCATTTGGGTTTATGCACTACTACCGAAAGCCTGGAAACATACGCACCGGATGTCACTGCATACAGACACATGGCAAAATTAGCGGTTACGTCTGAAACTGTACTAAAGAGCGTTAGAAATGACACGAATGCCAATGTGCCTCTTAGAAAGCTGCCTACTGCACGGCCAGAGAAGGAAAGC